TCAATTGCTATAATAGATTATCCTTTGGGTAATAAAGAAGGCAAGGGAATTCAAGGAAATTCTCTATAATGTGCCCACTGACTGGATCACCTTATTAAAATTTCTTAGATCTGTTACCATTCTTTGTTTTTAATGACAAATACAAAAGAATTCCTATCAGAGTCTTTTGGGTAGCAGCCCCTTAGGCCCCTTCAGGGTCTAGTCAAGATGCTACAGCCCATGAGGGAAATAACTACAAGATCTGAGTGTGGGTGAAAGAAAATAAATCAGCTCACACAGTTCTTCTCATAATTTCTTTTTTATTGTCCTTTTTTTTCTCCTCCAAGTTTTCTAGTTTATGTACACATACAGACACAATCATCAATTCTCTGGCAATAACAAGGTTACAGGAGTTGCATTTTTTTCAGGGTCATAAAAGCAGATAATAAGTACACAAACTGTAATTATATAACTGTAACTGTCAGCTTTATGATTCAAAGTGGGAATGGTTTGTGAAAGCCTTTGTGGAACTCTTAAGGGGGAAGGCAGTTAATTAAGAGAGGGAAATTAAATCGTTAGAGGAACTTAGGAGGGGAATTTGTGTGTTTTGTTACATTCTTAAGTGACTAAGCAAAGAGCTAAAATGTTATCAGTAGAAACCATGAACAAGATAGGATTCATCTTTTACTCAGTTTGCAGCTTTTTCCCAGGGGGCAGAGGGAGTATCAGGTAATTAGGCAACTACATAAACAAGCAGGGGAATACTGCTGCATTTGATCTGCATCAGCATTTCTGCCAAATGTGTAGCAGGCTGGTGGCGGGGGGAGTCAAATACAAGAATTACATTTACACCTAAGTGATAGAACAAGGAGGAGGCCTTTTAGTAACATAACAATAAATCAGGACCATGACTCTTTCCAGCTGTCTGGACTAAACTATGGCTTTGTTCCTGTGGTGTCTATGAAAAAAGCATTGACTTTGTTCAGAGTTGGGCAAATGGTTAATACCTTGTTTCTGTTATCTCATAAGGTTAAGAGAAAAACCGTTAATCTTCTAAGCTAAGATCTTGTATCAATAAACTGAGGTGAAAACAGTCAGTACAGAGCGTTAGTAGCCTGTTTAGGGTTATAACAGCGTTAATTGGGATGGCACTTTCTATATTGGTAGAAAGTGAATTCAGGGCAAGCATTCTTCCTGTCTTCTCTGAGGGCTAAACATCAGCCATTTCAGACAGACATACATGTCTGAAATGTCCTTGGGTGTCTGTGAATGTCTCAGTTGAGATCTCATTGTCTGGACACTAATACTGACCAACTGCTTAACGAAGGAGATAATAGCAGAGGGGCAGACTTCTAAGTTTATATCGGGGGAAATGGAACAAGGATCTGGTTGTGAGAACAAAAGTTTTGGCTGTGTGATTACTTCACCAGAATCTCACATCGCTGGAGGGAGTCATCCAATATACCAATGCTTAAGGGAAATTGTGCCCAATAAACAATTAGCACATTGTAGTTCTGTAGGAAAAATCTCCAAGCTGTAATGTAAGGGAAAGAACTGGTGTGGGACAATTCTATATTCTGTCACTTATGTTTTAAATAAACGCTGATTGGGCAGTAGCCAGGCAGGAAGTATAGGCGGGACAACCAGACAGGAAGTAGAGGTGGGGCAATGAGGAGTATTCTGAGAAGAAGGAAGCCCATTCCTCCCCAGTCCTCTCCAGACACTGAAGAAGCAGGATGTAACCTGCCCTGCTGAAAAAGATACTTAGCCATGTGGCTAACTTAGATAAGAATAATGGGTTAATATAAGTTATAAGAGTTACAAGAAGCCTGAGCTAATGGGTCAATCAGTTTATAATTTATGGAGACCTCGGTGTGATTTTCTTTGGGATTTACTGGGTGTGGGAACTGGGTAGGACAGAAACCTCAACAAAGCAGGCCCTCATGTTACAAAGAACTATGGCTTCACACAAGAAATCTGCAAGGAGGACAGTTAATACATTCAAAAGGTAGCATTCCTTATCACCTTACAAAATAAGGTTATCTCCATCAGATGTGCATCTGGTGGGTTGACCTCTGAACTCTCACTGTATAATTCTGCGACCTGCCAAGGACTGATTGCTTCTTCAGTATGTTGATCATTTGGCTGCTCCTGTACCAGCTGTTCTAATGTCTGTAATTTTTCTTATGTTAAAGGTTCCACCCAGATGGGATTTTCAGTTAATCATTTTAAATGTAGGGAAGTTGGTAACTTTGAAAGACCAGCAGCTGTTGTGTCTTGCTTATGCACAATCTGAACAGTCAGTGACTCTTCTTGATAATATCTTTTTTTATATTTCTCTCAGAGGCATTCTTTATTTTATGGTTTGTTTCTGAGATTGAGGAATGCTAATCTGGGTTTACCATTGTTGTAACAAGTCATACCCCCATAAATTCATTGCTATTGGTCACATATGCCTTTAATTTCCCTACCTATCCTACTGGCCCTATACATTTGACCCACCTTGTTCTTTTTTTTAAATTCTTTTACCAGAGGTAAAGTTCCAACACCTGGAAACTGAATATTTACCTTCTGAAGAAGCCATTCTGGATGCCAAGATGTTGGAGAAATTATTGTTACATCCAAACCTATGTCTATAATTACAATGTCATTCACTTGTATTTTTAGCTTTGTTCTTTGAACATTTAAAGAAGCATTAAGTTTTTTAATTGCTCTGTGGATGAGTTTCACCAATACTGACAGGGAATGTTTGAAATAAATTTGAGATTGGCGCCTGTAAGAGGCCCCTAAGGTGTTTCCCAATGGCAAAGGATTATCTTGTCTGTCACTTGTTGATCTGCATTCATTGGTCCAATGTTGGCCTTTGCTGTACCTTCTGCATATTTCAGAAGGTCAGGTCTTCTGTTTGAATCATCTCTTGAAAAAGCATTGTTTCTAGGAATGCCTTGCCTTTTCAGATGATCTTATTTACCACATTAAAACATCTGACCTTTTGAACTTTCTTAAAATTTTTAGAAATCACTTCTTCTATCCAAGTATCATCATAAGTGTGAGATCCAATATCAACTATATTTCAGATCCATTCATCTGTAGGGTCTGATCTTGCCTTTAAAGGCCTAATCATCCTTTTTCATTCTGAATTATCATTTTTAAAAGCCAAAGATTCAACTTATATTTGTCTAGCTTCTTAGTCCGATAACATTTTATGCACAGCTAAAGTCAATCTTTGTTTTAAAAAAATCAGTGAAGGGTTTTTGGAACCTTGTATAATTTTAGTAATGAATCAGTCCTCTTTCCTGATTCTTCATCCCTGTCCCAAGCATCCAAAGTTGCTGTACAACATATGGCCAAGATGTGATCATCAAATCTAAACTGTCTTTGCAAATCAGCATGCTCACCTTCATTGAGAAGCTGGTCTTGGGAAATTTCCATACCTCTGGCCCTACTTCATTGTTCTGTGATCCTAGCTTCCTTTCTCCCCCTTATTTTTCATTGTAACTGAGAACTACCTTCTAAGATTGCTGTAGCTAAAGCTTTTCAGTCTTGTGGGGGTATTTCTGTTCTGAGTTCTCTATGAATTTAACATTTGTTTCACAGAGTGTGAATGCATACCATATGAAACAACTGCTTCTTTAAATCTTTTCAAATCTAACATTTCTACAGGATCCATTTAACTTCTGATAGCCTTGGGGCTGCCTGTCATCTGGTACTTGTTCTTGTATGATAACTGGATATTGGTTTTCTAATAGCCTTGGGCTGTTCCTCTTCAGTTTCATAATTCAATGTGGTAGGTTCTGTTCTAAATTCCTCTGTCTGTGTGTGAATATTTGTCTTAGTTTCATTCGTAGATCTTTCTAAGGATTGTATTTTATCAGTCAATTTTTTTTATACTTGGAACCAATATCAAACTACTTTTTAAAGTATATAGCATGAATTACCAAAGTGATAATTACAATTAACATGTCAATCCCAGCTAAGCTGATTATGCCTTCATTTAATTTTTTTCATTTTCAAACCATACAGTGTCCTAACTCTCTGTATCATAATACTGTTCCCCATTCTTAACGTAAGAAAGACTTTATTTTGAAATTTTCTTTAAAGACTTTTGAATAAAATTTCATTTCCTCCTAAAGAATTCCTGGGTGTCTCACCAGATCTGCTGACTTCTCAGTTTTTCTACAGCAGCAGTGTTTGACTGTGGGGAGTGCCTCGGGGTACCTAGGTAGCCAGGCTAGTACCGTGTGCCCACTGGAGTGGCAGCGGGATGCCGCTGCACTGCACGATCTGGGTCGAGAGCACTTGCAGCTTCTTGCATATCCCCAGGGGCTGAGGGTGTGCAGCAGTGGCAGCAGCAGTAGAAGACTAGCAGGTGCAGGCAGGTGTCAAGGCAAGCAGGCTGGTCCAGGGAAGGCCCACAAGCTTCAGGGAGAGGGAGTGAGCCACCTGAAAAATGGACACGGGGGAGGGGGATGTGCAGGAGAAACCTGCTTGGCAGGAAGTGAGGGCACAGAACTGACTGAATGACAGCCAGCAACTGTCTCGGGATCAGGTATCAGGGTAAAAACTGGATTGATCAGAGAAACAGTGGGGGAAACAACCATTGGACTCCTCTCTCTTTCCTTCCTCCATCCAAAAAGGGCCTGTGAATCTTTCTAAGCCCCTCTTTTCTTATTAAGCCCCTGCTAATAATTCATGGGTCTCTCTCTATATGTCCTGGGTCCTTCAAAACTTCTATGGGTAATTCTGGTCAGCTAGTAGTAGCTAGCTCCACCCTCTGATTCAAGGTAAACTTTATTGTTAGTACCAGGATTGTCAGAGTCTGATCAAAATATCAGTGAGACCATGTAGCCCTGGCTGTCTTCAAACTTGCTGTAAAGACCAGGCTGGCTTCAAATTCACAGCGATCACTGCCCTTGACTCCAGAATGCTGGGGTTACAGATGTGCACTTTTCTTGCTTTTTTTGCATGGCAAGTTTCTTACTCCAAACATTGTAGTAAATTTCATTTTGGGTATATCGTAGATGTTGATATTCCTATGTGTTCCCAGGTATGGCTATTGTTACTCAAAAGGATTTCACCATTTTGAATCTATCAGTGAAGGTTTGTGAGAGGGTAATATAAAGTAGCCTTTACAACTTCTGATTTATAACTCCTAATATATGTTCTAAGTGCCTTGTGGCCATCGGCCATTAGTTCTCCTGCCTGGCATGTGTGAGTGCCCTGTGGCCATCTGTTATTTGCATGTGTGAACAGACAAGATTCCTAACCACCTACGAACTAAATTATTATTCTTTATACTCAATTGGCAGGTTCCCCCCCCCCATCTGTCAGTAGTTTCTTCACACACAGTATTTAGCACTTTGCTGAATACATGAGCTATCTGGCTTCATGGTTCTCTTTTTCTTAGTGTGCCTCTTACCTTATGATACTCTGTCCCATCAACTATAGTCACTTTGATTTTCTTGATTTCTCAACTCCATTTCTGTCATCAAATTGTCTACCGTTTGTTACTTTGTGTTCCTTCCTGGCAACACAGAATGTCTTCCAGGGCAGTAAGTTAGTATATAGTCAGCTTTTTTTTTTTTAGATTCATTTATTTATTATGTATACAGTATTCTCAGTATTCTGTCTACATGTGTGCCTCAGGCCAGAAGAGGGCACCAGATCTCTTTACAGATGGCTATGAGCCACCATGTGGTTGCTGGGAACTGAACTCGGGACTTTTGGAAGAGCAGGCAGTGCTCCTAACCACTGAGCCATCTCTCCAGCCCCTATAGTCATCTTTTCACCGCTGTGGCAAAATACCCAAGAAAGACAACTAAATGGAAAAACTTTCTTGAATTCCCAGTTTCAGAGATTTTAGTCCATGATCACTGCATTTTGTCACTGTAGACTTGAGGGGACACAGAGTGTGAGTCTTCTGACCCTTGACTCGTGCAAGGTTAGCAGTCATCCTACTGGACAGTAGTCCTCAAGACAGTTCACACGTACTACTTCAAGACTACTTCCAAGTGGAACGGTTCTTCACTGTAGTAGGGACACACACAGAAATCATTGAATGAGGACTAGATCTTTCTCTTCAGGCCATGACAATGGTAATAACTTCTTAAGGACTACCCTGAAGTATCAGAATTGAAACAGTGATCAATCAGACCACTCGTTGATCAGGATTGCTAGAATTATGCATAGCCCTGCCCCTCCCCCACCTAGATCCAAAGCTATGTCAGCCCTTGAAGATGGACTTGTGATCACAAGGCTCTTTTGGTGTTTGTTGTCACAAGTGTAGCCACATTAAATAAAGCTGTCTTTGCTTGTTCCCCCTGACCCCCCCCAAAAAAAACAGAAACAAAATAGCACCCTGGTTTGGTTTGATTTGGTTTTGAATATTTGTTTTCTTGGTTTTGAGTGAGGGAGGTTAAATCCATTCACTCTATTTTGGCCAGAAGTCGATATTACTCTTTACATCTTTTTGTTTTGATTCAAGATCAATATATGGCAGGCGTTAACTGTCATGTTTTTGGTTTTTATCAAAGACATTTCACTACTTTTTCATGAGCCATGAATTGACATTCCAGGCTGGATTTGTCTGTTTCCTCATCAGTAATCAGGTTAAATATCTGTACTGCTTTCTTGAATGGGACTTTAAGTGACCTTTCATGCTGAGTTTGATCACATGTAAAGTAAAATGTTGAAGATCTTCAAATTATTATTTTTATATACTGTAATTTGAGAATATCCAGTGGCTGATGGTGGCACTTAGGAGGTAGAAGCTCATGGATCTCCATGAGTTTGAGGCCCAAAAGGTTTATATAACAAGTTTCAGGACAGTCAATGCTACATAAAGAGACCTTGTCTCAAAAAACAAACACAGGAGGAGAAAGGAGAAGAGGTGAGAAGGAGAAAGGATGAACCTATGGAATTGTTGAGACCTTAAAGATCCTATTCTCAAACTTCTTTTACATGGCTGTTTTTGATAACCTTGTTGCAATTAATTATTACTTGGTAGTTACAAAATCTTTTCAACATCAGTTAACTAGTGTTTTCTCGAAGGCCTACCCTGCTTTTCTTTTTGAGTATCATTAGGAATTCAGATTGTCTTTACATTATATTGTATTTATTGTATTTCATTATAATTTATTATTCCTCCTTTTTTCTTGCTTTCTCTTTGTGTCTATCAATGTGTGTGTATGTATATGCACACACACACACACAAACACACACACACATGCACACATAGATCAAATCCAGGGCCTTGCACCGCTACACAAACACCATGCCAAAGAACTGCACCATGGCCCTTATTCATTGGAACACAAAAATAATCCAGATTTGGTCAATGTGATCCATGTTGCCATTTAACCATAAAGTATGGGTTAAAGTGGGCTATTTTAGGCCTCACATAATCTATTCTAATCTAATAGTAGGAATAGAGAAAAGCATCCCTAGGTTGGATGCTTGCTCAGGCCCTGTGCATGACCAACCCAGAGTGAGACTTGAGTTGAGGGGAGTTGCTTCTACTATCAACATCTCCTAGTTCTGTTTTTGTCTCCTGTTTTAGGCGTGTCACCTGGTTCGGTTCCTGTCACTTTTGTTAAAGGCACACACACACACACACACACACACACACAACACTTGCTCTTCTGTTGAACACCTCTGTCCTCCTCCATGATTACTTTCAGTATCAGAGAGCAGCAATTTGCCATTGAGTCCCCACCCAACTGAACATGCCTCAAGAACTCTGTCCTCTGCGACCCTGTGGTAGCCTTGGCCTGCCTCTTCTGTACCTCAGTAAGGCTTTTCCAGTAAACCAATTCTCTGTTTTTCTATTTACAGAATCTTACCTAGACATATGGCCTGCTGCCTCTGCAAATATAAAACTGATATTGAGGTTGTCTGCAAGACAGTCAAACTGCATTGCCATACTGGATGTCTGACAAACACAACACATTGTCGTGAGTCTCTTACCTGATGAATGTTTTAATTTTATGTCTTACTTTTTAACTAGTTATGAAAAAGGCTCATCCACACCTTCTCTTTTGCTGAAAGTTGGATTCTCAGCTATTATTGCATGATTAGATAATAGAACTGTTCCATATGCAGAAAGAGCAAAAGAAAGGGGTAAAATGGGAGAGAGATAACATAGATGACCACAAACTCTTCACTATGCTGTCTGCCTGGTATCCTGCTTCCAATAATTACTTTTGCATATAGTACACTTCAGTCTGTAAGCTGGCTTTTTGTACATTAGGTCTCAAGTGATCTCCTACTTTTGATATCTCTAGACAGATTTTGTTTGGTTTCTTTTCTTAATTTTGTAAGTGATGCCTTTTTATTTGGAATCTGAGAGCAGTGAGTGCTGCCTCACTGTGCTGCTGGAGCCGGGAGCTCTTCCATGCCCACACCGACCACCTCCCTACTGTTTTGAACCTCAGGCTTTTCTACCGCCAAATCTTTCATGTAATTTTAAGTGTTTTTCTAAACTGAATATCTCGGCACATGGCAATAATCCCAGCTACTCAGGAGGCTGAAGCAAGATGATCCAAGTTCAAGGCCAGTCTAGGCAATTTAGTGAAAACCTAGCTCACTTTTTTTTAAAAAAAAAATATTTTAAAAGGGGACAGCGATACAGCTTGATAGTATAGCTTGTGCTTAGCACTAAAATATTTTCTATGTATTAGGTTTATTAGCAATAACTTCATCCAAAATATGACCGTTTTCTTGCCTAAATAGTTTAAATGCAAGTCTTTAGCCTTGATCTGGAGAAGAGAAATAGAAGTGGCATTTGACTGTCTATATAAATGTCATTTATTTTTATTTAAGAAACCAATTACATTCTCTTTTTTCCACAGAAATGGCAAATAAGCATTTCTCTTATTTTACACATCAGAAGTGTCAACTGCTGTTGCCTCTTGCTTGAGTTATCACTTCCTAATTCTGAGCAGTCCATAGGCACACATTTTTCTTTTCACCACTCCTTCAGGCCCTCACTACCACCTCAAATCCTCTCAATTCTCCTGGGAAAGAAACACAGCTACACAGTGACTCACTTGACCTTCCTACTACCAGAAGCCTTGTATTGTTCCCATGTGGACCTGGAAGAATGAGAAATGAAGTGAGAACAGGCTTCAGACAAGAGTAGCTCTGACCTTGTGCATTTTATGAGTTCGAGTAATGTTTATCTAGAAATTGCTATTCTATAAATTGATTTTACATAAGAATAAAACCCAGTACATTAAACATGTCTTCACCTACACCTCATAACCCCCTTCACTCAGGCAAGAACCAGAAAGATGCACAGAGAGGATGCTCCTGTTTCAGGAGCTGGAATACATGCCAACAGAGCCTATGGGAAGAAATTGGGCGGGTAGGTGGAGAAGGACACACATCCAGATGTGAATGAGAGGTGCCTGCTTTAGCATTTCTGGCCTCACTCCCCTCAAAGGTTGTCCATCACCATAGTTAGCTGAGGTTGTATCAACAGAGGGCACATTGAAACGATGGAGAGAGGAAACCTAGTGGGCCTCTCGAATCTGAGGCAGATGGTGTAGATGTAGAAGCCTGAGGAGGTTCAGTCAGCCATGCAGAGAAGAAAAGCTGGCTTTGTCTTCTGGCTCTGGGTCTCTCTCTACTGGTCCACTGGCTGTCTTGAATAGACTTCCTGTGTGCACACTGTGGAATGTTCCCAGGAGGTTCCTACTTTGCCAATGACACTCTTTCTTTCGGTTGCTCCCATTTCACAGAATTTAGTTTAGTGTGTTTTCACACACACACACACACACACACGCACACACACACACACACACGGCATACCAGTATTTGCTGGCCCATAATTTATTTGACTACAGTGTGTGACTATGAGCTGAGAAAGGGGTAAAAGTATTCTCTGACTAAAAACAATCTCTCCATCTCTGACAGTTGAGGAAGCATCTATAGGGAACCCAGAAGGGGCATTCATGAAGGTGTTGCAGACCCGGAAGGAGAATAACAGCACTGAACTCATTATTGAACCAGAGACAGGCTATTCAGACCAAGAAAATGCCAAGTACTCCAGCTCCATGGAAGAGGATATCAACTTTAATGATGAAAATGATGTTATGAGTGCCCTGAATTACATACTGCCATATTTCTCTGAGGGAAATCTGGAAGATGTAGTATCAACAATGTTACCATACATTAAACTGCTGTTTTCTCATGACCAAGATTCAGAGAGTTCCTTGGGATCTTTGCAGAATGATACACAAAGTCTTTTTCCTACAAATGAATCTGAATCTGGTAACTTCACTAACAAAAATAAATTGAATAAACTTTATTTTCTGGAAAAGTTATTAGATGAAGAAATTGATGAGGTTAAAAAGGAAGAGAAAACTATACTACATAAGGAGAAGTCTAATAATTCAGGTAAAAAATTTAAGTGACAAATATTTGGAAAGAGTTGGACACCTGCCCAGGCAGAGGAAAACAGTCTTGCAGAGATTGAGAAGGCAGAGAAAAGACTCCACAGCCTGAACAGAGTGCTCAAGAGGACAGGAAGCATACAGAAAAGGCACTTTAAGGGAGTGAGTGACAAGAGCCTGTGGGATAAGCAGAGTGTCCAGACGCCTGTGGAGAGTATTGCCAAAGACGGACAGCTCGGGAGCCCACCCACAGTGGAGTAGCAGCAACTCAGTATTGTTCAGAAGATCAGAAAATTAGTGAGAAATTCCTTCCACCCAGAGCCCTTGCTCCCAAAGGAGCATGGGGAGGCAGTGTCTTCTTCCCCAGAACAGTCGCTGGTGGACAAGACTCTCACTACAAAATCGCTGCCTGAGTTCATAGACAGACGAAAAGACTTGTCTTACACCATTTTAGTTTTAGAAAGTGCAAATTTAAATGTGAAAAGAACGAAGGGGTCTAACCCTAGTTTACTGTCTGAAAAGACACATAGAAACCTTAGGAAGAAAAAGTATCATTTCCGGTTGATTGCAAAGAGTCCAGCATCCTCTGCAGTGAGGAGCCTGGTAAATTCCCCTGCAGGAGGGGTCTTTTCATCTTTAGGAGACCTGAGTTATGCAGAAAAGCCTTTTTCAGAATTAGATGCTGCCTTAGGACCTCCTTCCAAAAAACCTCTGGCTGCATCTGATATTGATAATATTGAAGAACACATCTTTGAACCAACCACCCCTATGTCTGAAGAACCTATATCAGAAAATATATTCCCTGAAATGACTGCTGTAGAGTCTTTTGGGCCTACATACGATTTGATTCCAACAGATATCACTGTGCCTGAAGAAACTGCATCAGAAATTATACCCTCTGAGAATCCTATTGTAGAGTCTCATGTGCTTACCTCCGATTTAATTCCAACAGACATCACTGTGCCTGAAGAAGCTGCATCAGAAATTATACCCTCTGAGAATCCTATTGTAGAGTCTAATGTGCCTGCATCTGGTTCAATTACAACTCTTCAGCAAGCCAGCAAGCCACAGTTAGACTTCATCTTGGGGCCTGACTCCCATGAATTTGCTTACTCGTTGCTGATGTCACCAGGTAAACGCTTTGAATCTCAGCTAAACCAGCAGCTGCGGCCCCTCATCCCCAACAACAACGTGAGAAGGCTTATTTCTCACGTTATCAGGACTTTGAAGATGGATTGCTCTGATCCCAGTGTGCAACTGTCCTGTGCCAAGCTCATCTCCAGAACCGGCCTCCTGATGAAGCTTCTCAGTGAGCAACAAGAATTCAAGTTGTCCAGGGCCGACTGGGATACGGACCAGTGGAAAACTGAGAACTACATCAATGAGAGCCCAGAAACCCAAGGTGGACAGAAGGGTCTGGAACCAAGTCAGGTGAGGACAATGTTGGAACTGAGTCCCCTGTACCCTCTCAGTCATTTAAGCAGAAAGACTGGAGGCTTCTATTCCAGATCTTGTATTGTCCACATAACACTAGCCCAGCCAAGACAGTGGTTCTCACTATGGTTCTAAATTTATTGACAGAAGGCAACCTAAAACTCAAAACATAAAAATTGTGTTAGATAGGTAGCACATTTAATTTGGTATGTTCTTTTAAAATCTGCAAGCTACTAATGTAGAAAACTTTTATTATTTTTTTCATATTGTCATTTTGTTTTATAGTGTTGGGGATTAAATTCAGGACCTTGTATACATAATATACAAGGACTTGATCACTAAACTATATACTGTAGCCCATAGTCTTGCTTTTGTTTATTGTGCTATTGGGGCATTCTGTTTTGTTTTGTTTGAGAAAGGGTCTCACTATGTAGTTATATCTAGCCTAGAAATTGCTGTGTAGACCAGGCTGGCCTTGAACTTTCAGAGATTCACTTGCTTCTGTCTCCAGAGTGCTGGGATTAAGAGCCTCACCAAGCCCAGCTCTTAGTTTTATTGAGTCAAAGTCTTTTTGTATAATCCAGGATATCCTAGAACTTACCTGGTGTTCTAGGTTGTCCTTGAACTTATGGCAGTCCTCCTATCTTAACTTCCCGATTGCTAGGTTATATATATGTTACCATTCACAAGCCCAAGAAGGAATTTTAAGCAATTAGCCTTCACTTTCTGTCATTCTTTTAATTTTATTATTATTTAATAGCCACACAAATGTCCATTCATTTATTTCATATATTCCAGCGCACAAAAGAAGTTCCGGGATACAGCTACAACAACAAAGTCATCTTGGCAATATCTGTAACTGTAGTAGTGACAGTGTTGATTATCATTTTCTGTCTCGTTGAGGTAAGGACAACAATACATTCCTGTGTCCAGCATGTGCCCGGTCTGTGTCATAGGTTTAGAGGCCGCGAACTGAAAACCTGAGCCACTGACCCTCTCTGTCTACAAATAATGCCCCCGAGTGTCCACAGGTACTCTGTGAAGTCGGGCTCCTCAATGTCAGGTCATTATGTAACGTTCTGATTTGGTGTCAGACTGGTGGTGTTGCCGTGAGAGGCTGTGGGAGCAGTGGAGAGTTCTCTGTCCGTGAGGATGGTGGAATTTTGAGGCTAGATGGCAGAAATCAGCATGGGGTCAGTTCATGACCTCCGGGAGGATGTCCTCTGGCCCCTGTACAGGCAGCACCTCCACACCTAATGTGGTTGTGACCTCCAGGGAAATCTCTGTAAAGTCCTATATTGCTCTTTAGTGGTGTATACTGTTCACCACTGTGCTGGAATTTATTCACATTTTCACTATTTTTTCTGCCAATTTAGATGATACTCTGTGAGTAGAGTAAGCATGCCCAGTATTTTGCCTACAGTAGATAACAGTGGTATTCAAAGAAGAGAAATGACGCATTCCATCAATTCTACTATGAGGGTGATAGAAATCAGTACTTATTAAAATAGCATCAGAGAAAGATGTTTGTGTACTTCTGTAGTCCTTGCTCTTAGGAAACAGAAGCAGGATGATCCATAGTTCACAGTCGTTCTCAGCAATGTAGTGAATTCAGGCCAGGGATATATGAAATGCTATCTTAAAAAAAAACAGATTAAATAGTAACAGACAGAGAAAAGCAATGGACAAACAGTGCGGGGACTGTTGGGGTCTGGGGATTTATATGGCCTGTGCATGCTAAGCATGAGCTATATTCCTAGACACTTAAGACTTTTGAGTAATTTAATAGTTTAGTCAACTGTGGAAAATGGAGTAAATGGTAAGAGAACAATTGCCTGACTGTTTTGTGGCCAAGTAATGAAAGCTTACTCCTTCTTACCTTAAAGAAACCATGCGAAAGAGAAAAAATAGCAGTGGTTTTAAAAATGAATGTGTGGGGGGAAGAGCTGTCTGTTTCCACTCCATAGGCAAAGGCCTTTGCTGAGTCTGGACGCTGTCTTCCACATCCTTCGGGATAGAAGGCTTGTGCCTGCTGAGCACAGCACAGAGTTCTCCATTCTTTGTCTGATCTAATCTCAGACTCCTTGGGAAGAGCTTATCAGCCTCTCCTAGGGTGAAGAGCACCTAGGCCCAGTGGCCAAACCAAGAGTAAATCTCCCATTCATTCCCCTGATCCCTAAGCCTGCACCTGGACCCTTCACTGGTCAGTTTCGCCCCCTCAGAGACAAACAGGAAGTACTGGGAGTGTGAGAGTACTAGGAAACCATTGCAAACCACCCAAAGCATTAATATATTTCGTGGTAAAACAACCCAGTGGAAAGGAAAGTGTCTGTAGCCGAGGCCACTCATCTGCCGGCCTGTGTCTCCTCCTGTGTGAGTTATGGATGTTCTTGTTCTCAGGGTGTTACCACCTCAGGGGACGCAGGTTCCTTCTGTACCACGTCCTAGCTCTTGTCTAGCACTGTTTTCTCATTTGTACATTTTCCCGCCGCCCCAGGAGAAAAGGAGCTTGAGACAGGGTTTCTATAGCCAGAATGACCTGGAATCCACTATGTACCTGAGGCTGACCTTCAGCTCCTGATCTTCCTGCCTCAGAATCACAGGCATGTGCCACCAAGTCCAGCTGGTGTGCTGACGTCTTTGTTTTGTGACTTTCCACCCTACTAACTTTTCATATTACTTCCAGTATAGTTTTAGTTGATCTCGTCAGCATTTTGGTTGTCTGTTGTTTCCAATACAAATAGTACTAGTTTTTCACCTGTCTTCCCAATTTAGTTTCCTTATTGTGTATTGAGCCCTTCTTGACAGGGCCACCCTGCAGCAATGATAGAGGAGACCTCTGGACACCTTAGGCCACCCCGCAGCAGTGACAGAGGAGACCTCTGGCCAGGGCCACCCTATAGCAGTGATAGAGGAGACCTCTGGACAGGGCCACCCTATAGCAGTGATAAAGACATCTTGCTCTTGTTCTTGATCTCTTCAGCAGTGCATTTCTTAGGCTTTTGCTGTATACTTAGATGGAGTTAAAAATATTTTGAATCACCTGACCATGATAGTGCTTTCTTTTAATTCCAGCACTCAGGAGGCAGAATGCTGTGAGTTCATGACCTGCCTGGGATAAAAAGCTAGTTCCAGGACAGCCAGGACTGTTAAACAGAGAAACCCTATCTCAAAAAACAAAAAATTCATACTTTTAACAGAAATTATTTTTATTAAGAAGTATTTGCTGAATTTTATCTAAAATAATCAGTATAATATATTAAGTGAAACCTAAAGGATGGTGTTGTGAAGAGACAAAGAAGGGCAGAATGGGCTCCTGAGCTCACTGAACAGGTAAGACTTTAGGTAAGTAAAAGGAATTAGTAGATTTAGAAACAGTGGTCATTGTGATAAGCAGAATTATGTTTTCTCCCCAAACAGGTTTATTCCCACAGAACAAAAGAGGAAGATGAAGAAAAGTCCATAGGGTAAATATGAGACCATCTTTCACAGAGAACATGAGAGTTAGCAGAGAACTTGGAACTCACCTAATTCCCTCATCTGACAGGGAGAAGAAAATTGCCAGAAAGAATATGATCCTCTCTGTTGTTTTGCCTGGCTCCCAAAGAGGCACCTGGCACTAGCATGGATGCCTCTGCTGCCACCAGGCTTTCAAAGAAAGAGGGTGAAATCCATAGGTTTAGGCTGTACCAGCTTTTGTTAGTGTTGTCTGCTCCAGCTAGAGACTTCAGAATTGGATGCTTTGGAGAAGAAGCAGGGGAGCCCAGAGTTAGAGTGTAGGGCTGTGAGTATACAGAGGAGGAAAGTCCATATCCTCATCCTGTTGGTCACCTTTTGAGCCTCTTCTTTCTTTGAGTGACACAAACTTCATAGAACTATAGCTGGGAGAGATTATGGACAATAGTTACCTTTCTTCTAAAGAGGAAATGAAGGACAATGGCAGAAATGTCTGGTCCTGTGGTCACTCTCTGGGGCATGTCAGAAAGAGGACCATTTTCTCCCTGGTGGAGCCCTTGTTTTTAGTTCCTCTCTGCTCAGGCTTTGGTCATATTTCACATCAAATCTGTACAGCGTATATGTCTGGAAAGTATGCTCTGAGTTTCCTAATTGTCCTTGGATTCAGAAAAGATAACTAATGTGTGTGTTGGTTCTTGTCATGTACTTTACTGCTTTTTTGGAGACATGGTTTCACACTTAGGCTGGTCTGGACTCACTGTGTAGCCAAGGCTGGCCTCAACCTCACAGAGATCCGCCAGCCTCTGCATCCCCAGTGCTGGGATTAAAGGTATTATGCACCACTGCCTGACTGGCCTCAGAATCTTGTTTCAGCCTCCCAAGAATTGGAATCACAGGCATGATCCACCATGCGCAGCTACCTGTGCCCTTTAAACTGCTCTTACAAATCCTCAGCAGAGGCAGGCTGCAGGGTGAAACCCCGTGAGTCTGTGAGCTGTGCTGTGGACTTGGGCTTTGTACTTGGAGGATAAAGCAGCTAGGCAAGCAGGAGCAGCCCCTCCCTCACCTCAGCAAGTCTGCCTGTGAGAGCTGATCTGCAGGAGAGCAAAGGGCTCCTGCCTAGAGTGGCTTCTTCAGAGGGAGAAGTTGGTTCAGTGGAATAAGTGGGACTACTGTCATGCTGGTGCCTCTGCTCCAGGACAATTCACAGGCAAAATCTCCCCAGGGAGATCTTTTGGAAAGTTCCTAAAAGCCAGATATGCATGGAATTGTTGTTAAGTCCCATTGCTGGGGTGATCTTTGTTATGGGGAGAGCCAAGATGTCCCCAGACAACACCACACACACACACACACACACACACACACACACACACACATAAACACAGCACAATCACTAACTGTCTTCTGCATGTGTTTTCTTCCAAGGAGTAAGAAATGCTACAAGGACAGTGAGAGTCAGGTAAGCCCGAGACTCGGTGCTGTGGCTGGAGAAGGTGGGGCTAAAAGAACTAATGTCTCCCCTTCTGTTTCCTAGGAAGGATTTTTCTGGCTAAGGTGGCCACAGTGGCTCACAGATTTATTCAAACGTGACATACGAAAGAAGAGCATGACTGAGGGAATGCAGGTCAAGGAGTCCTCTGCACAGGACGATAGTGCCATTCAGGATGCACCATGGTAAATGTCTAGCTCAAATGAGAAGCTAAGGTCAAGTTCCTCATTTCAAAGTTTGAAAGCCTTGGCATTGCTCTTCTTCCAGGGACGTCAAGGGGGAAGTGATGCCGCCGGCCCTGAATCTGTCAGTCGCTGAAGCAGAAGAGAGTGAAGAAGCAGATGACACTGAAGGCACAGAATGATCTGCTATCATTTATTAATAAATTATTTTGTGTAGATTCGTGAGTGTCAAAGGACTTTGTACACAAGTAAATGAAAATCGATGTAGAGCAGTTTAGAGCTGAGCCAGTAGGACGACTTATCACGTGAAAGCAGTGGCCATGCAAGCCAAGTTTGATCCAGAATCCAAGTTTTATAAAAAAATGCTGCATGGGTAGCAAGCATCTGTAATGGAAGCACTCGTGAGCAACATAGGAGGTGAAGACAGAATCACTTAAAGTCATCTAGCCTGGAGTACAGAGCAAAAAAACAGATAAGGGACCCTGCCTCAGCAAGGTGGTTGGCCAAAACCAACTCCCAAATATTGTCCTATGACTTTCACATGATTGCCATACCATGCATGAACCTAGACATTCCTCTCCTCCCCCCGTACACACACACACAATTTCAAAATGGGGAATGGGCTTATTAAACACAGAAAAAATACTGACTATCCAGTGATACAAAGACTGGCGCTGGTCATGGATGCTCAGCATTCTTGGTCCCCAGAGGAGCAGTGTGGCTGGGGAACCACCGGCCTGTGTGGCTGGCTATGGGTCCAAGCAGAGCAAGTGGCCCTCTAGTCCTCACCTGGCTGGTCAGTGAGCTGGTTGCAAAGGAGGTGTCCTTAGCGAGTCATCTTAAAGGACAAGAATAGGGAATATCTTGAAGAAAGGGGAGGCAGTGGAAGCTGTACCCACCGCTGCCCCCTAGGAACGGTGTGTG